AGCTGCTATATTCTACTCATCGGGTACTAAATCCATAGCTACCAGTGTTCAATAGGTACTAAGTCCATAGCTACCAATTCCGAACAGGTACTAAATCCATAGCTACCAGCATCTAACTAGTAGGTACTAAGTCCATAGCTACCAATTCCTAACAGGTACTAAATCCATAGCTACCAACGTCTAACAGGTACTAAGTCCATAGCTACTGGAGTTCGTCCCATAGGCACTAAGTCTAAAGCTGCCAATGTATACTCACATCATCTTCTATCTCTCATCATTCATCTACCCATCTCATACCCAACATATTCGTATATATAGAATACATATACAGTTTAAATCCTTTAAAACATGTATAAAACGTTCATCCAGCATAGATAGCAAGTATTTAGATAACATGCACACATAGCACGTAGTTTATATAAAATACTTCATATCTATGTGTAAGATGAAAGGGACTATGCACTCACTTGAGTAGGTGGTGACTCAGTACTCGGACAGTGCTTCGATACTCTTAAAACAATTTTCCTTCGATAAAACCTAGTACCAATACCATTAGGGTTTAGTCTAACGATAACCGTGGCAAATTAATAGTCTGACTATTAGTAAGCGTTAATAACACTCAATATAATTCATAATAATAGCCCAAATAATTATTTTAAAGACCTAATAACATTCCTATAATTATTTGAAAGCTATATTAAAAATTGCGTAAGCGTAGCACACTTACAATGAATTTTATCGTAAACCGGAACTTAATTGGAGCAGCATTTCGAAACCGAAAGGCTCTTTTTTTCGGGACTCGGGAAGCCTCGGGGCTTCCCTCGGGAGCTAAGGGGTTTAACTAGGGCTTATGGGGGGTTTGGAACTCTAGAGAGAGAAATTAGTGAGAGAAAGAAGAGATTTTAGAGTGAAGAATTATGGCAGCCTCGGCCTTCTATTTATAGCCAGAGCTTCGGACCTTACGCTGGGCGTACCGAGGGTATGATGGGTGTACTCCTCGGATAAGACCACCAACTCGGACCCAACTGTCTTGCACCCATTGGATGGATCAGATCGGACCTAGGCAGGGCGTAACCTCTTCGGACGCGGGGTACTCCGAAGCGACGTGTCGTAAATCCGAAGCGAAGCGTGATCAGCAAGTGATGGCCCTGATTGAGCCACGTCATCACCCTCGCAACATATTTTTCGCAAATTCACTTTCCGGCTTCTAAAAATCATAAATTTCGCATACGAGCTCCGTTTTTGACGTTCTTTATATCCACGTGAAGGTGGGAACGTACTCTACAAATTTCGTTTAGACTCCGTCGGCTAATTTTGACTCGATTTTAAATTATTTATGATTAACAGGCCGGGACAGGATTGGTCCGTTAAATCCTCATAATTTCTTCATCCGATGTCCGTTTTCACCCATATTTTTCTCTTTACGCTACTCTTAACGAGATATTCGATTCTTGTTTAGGTCGTGTTGGCTAAAAACCGCTCGATCTAGTATTCGAATTTTGGGCTGTACACTGCTAACTCGAAACTTCGAAAAATCATAACTTCTTCATACGAAGTCAGATTTGGGCGTTCTTTTTATTGATGTTCTTAGTTTAACATATTCTATGACTTTTGTTTAGAGCGCTAAGGCTAAATCTCGCTCTATCGTAAATTCACTATTTACACTTCTCGGTGCCGTGTCGGTTCCGTCGCGAAACTTCGATGGGTCATAACTTCTTCGTTATAACTCGGATTTCGGACTTCTTTATATGCACGGAAACCTTGTGACATATTCTACAACTTGGTTAAGATTATTTATTCTAAATAATATTTTGTCGAAAAGTCGTTTTCGACCCCTATTGCCTCTAAATTGACTAGCCCGGATCTACGGGCATTACATAAGTGAATGATGATAAAACATGTAAAATTACTTCTTCCTTTTTCCATGTTTTGCTAATATTTTGAAAATATAATGTATGATTTTCCTGGCTTTCTGATATCTTTACACGCTTGCCTCTCACCTAGGAACATAAAAAAAATATTAGAATCTGACTTGTTGAGTTCACCTCCTGTCAATTCCCAAAAATCATAAGCATAGCTCATACCTCAGCTCCATCTTTCAACTCCAAAAGAGCACGCGTTACTTGATCAGGAGATGCAAACCGTAAGTTCAGATAGCCTGAATAAAAAACTGATATACACAGGAACAATCACAACAGAAGAGATCTAGACATTCAACAGTGTAAGTTCATATGGACTCAATAAAAAAAACCGATAGAAATTGACTCACCTGACATAGAGGAAGAAGAATCATCTGACATGAAGGAACATACCGAGAAGTATTAATGACTCAGGAAGGAATCCAAGAACTTGGAAAGCACTTTCACCGAACATGCCAAGATCCAGAAGGAGAGACGTAGGGTTGTAGTGGTTGATTGCGAGAAGGATTTATGGTTTCCTTCAGTTACGCCCTTCACATCTTCGTAAATCTTCATATGGTGAAGGATAAAGATGAGAGAAAACTTGGTGGAGAAGGAGAGATGAGAAGGTAGAAGTGTCGATTAGGGGTTGTTCAGTTCTTCGATTGACGGTTGATGAGTCGTAGTTATTGATCGACCCTACAATCGAAAGGACTTGCAGTTGCCGAACCATTTAGTGTGAGGGTCAATTTGGAAGAAATCTCAAACCCTTAACCTTAAATATGATATTAAGTGATTTATCCATAATCTTCTTCGTCCCCATCAATTCCTTGGGCTCACAAAATTGGACGATGGTGGTAAATGAAGAGGCAACGAGGATTTGGGGCAGTGGATGCGGGTAAGGGGTGGAGATGAGGGAGAAGAAGGCGGGGGTTTATAATATTTGGGGATTTCATTTTCCCTCTAAGGTGACACACGTTTCTTACAAAAAAATATAAAGCGACATTCACAGAGGATGCACATTTTAGATAAAGTTCCGTCCGTGTTTTTAATTTTTTTACATGAGTCACTAATTTAAGGGCACGCAATAATGTGTAACCTAAATCCTTAATTTTTTTTGAAGAGATGACACTTTTTTAATGTCACTCTATTTTGTTTAATATAAGTCAATGAGTGTCGTGGTTTGTGCGTTGTAAAAGGGTCTTTTTCTTGTAGTGCGGTTTCGAAAAAGAGTGGTTCAAAAAAGAGTTAAAAAGCTACAGTTTACACGAAGAGGAGTTTTGATTTGAGAGCTTTTGTCTCTTAGTTCTTCCGCATCAAGAAATATGAATGCTTTAGATGTAGTGAAAAAGTTAAAGAAGTGAAAGCCAACTCCTATTGAGGACATAATAGAAGATGTTATTATGGAATCAGAACATGATAGTGATGGAACATATACAGAAACGAGAGGTTCATTTCATGTGTCATCATGAAAGGATACCTCTGTCAAATCGAATATCAAGGAGATAAGTAATCCCGATGTCAATGCAAACATATCTCAAACATATCTAATACAGAAGTAAACATCGATTTTGGTGCACAATTGAACACTAAAACCCATGAGTAGAGGAAAGTCATACCACCTAGGGTTTCGTATACTAAGTCCATTATGGAGGAGGTCGAAGTTCTAGACATCACTGTGAACTTATCTGATAAGGACACAAATGTCAATATGGGTGAAGGGATGCAAACTATTGAAACAACAACACCAACAATCGAAACTTAAATTGTTACCACAACTATCGAAACTTCTGCTGTTACTCCACCACAACCAACTTCTCCACCACTTACATCAGTTACTTCACCTTCATCTACTACTGCATTTTCTCCAACTTTTGTTGGTGTAATGCAAGAACTTATTGCTACACTTTTCTCATCTCAATCAACTTAACCTGAGAAAACCATTACTGAAGCTGAAGCAGATGATGATGATGTCATGGTTTCATTTGTTGAGTTGCAATTAAATCTTGATAAAGAAGATATACTTGATGACTTGATCATGTAAGGTAAGGAATTCAAGATTCTAAACTCTAAGATGAATTCAATACTTTAATTTTTGGCTGAACTGGAGACAAGAACTCAGTTAGTGGTGTTGAAGTGGAGTATCTTTTGAAGTCCTAAGAGTCTCGATTGAAACTTTTATTGATAATGTTGATAAAAGATATTAAAAGAGGATGGAAGCTCAATCAATAAATTTTGATCATGAACTCTCGAAACTTCATGATGTGGAAAAAGAGCGCCATGAACTATTTTAGAAACAAGTGTCTGAGACGAAAACTTCTCTTGAGCTCCAGGTTAATGAGCTTCGAACCTTGATGGATAAAAAGGTTAAGAAGTTAGATGATAATTACAATTTACTGCATAAAAAGGTTGATGTCGTAGCAAATGCAACAACTCGATTGATCAAAGATATCACTGCATTCAACAAAGACTATTTGCAAGATCTAAAATTCAAGACTGAGAAGAATGACAAGGTGCTTGAGAAATGTTGAAGTATTCTTATATGATTTTAAAGAGACATTATATAAAGTGAATCTTTCGACTCAATCTTATATTTCTCAAGAATCCATTTCTGCTATGGTTTTGAACGTCGAGTCAAGTATCAAGGATGAGTTGGCTCTAATATTGAATTTGGCGCTTTCGACTACCAACAAATGCTCAATGTCCTATGCATGATTCACAAGTGGCAGATAGAGGTTCTGCTGTTGGTTCGTCTAAGGGGTCTGGGGAAGATTCATGAATAGTTGTTGGGAAAGTTATGTCTATGAAAATTTCAATAACAATTCCAATGAAGCCAGTTATCACATCATCAATAACAACCTCTGTCAAATCGAATATCAAGGAGATAAGTAATCCTGATGTCAATGAAAACATATCTCAAACGTATCTAATCCGAAAGTAAACATTAATTTTGGTGCACATTTGCACACTACAACCTATGAGTAGACGAAAGTCATACCACCCAGGGTTTCATATACTAAGTCCATTATGTAGGAGGTCGAAATTCCAGACATCACTGTGAACTTATCTGATAAGGACACAAATGTCAATATGGGTGAAGGGATGCTCACTATTGAAACAACAACAACAACAGTCGAAACTTCAATTGTTACCACAACTATCAAAACTTTTGTTGTTACTCCACCACAACCAACTTCTCCACCACCTACATCGGTTACTCCACCTTCATCTACTACTACATTTTCTCCAACTTTTGTTGGTGTAATTCAAGAACCTATTGCTACACTTTTCTCATCTCAATCAACTGAACCTGAGAAAACCATTACTGAAGCTGAAGCAGATGATGATGATGTCATGGTTTCATTTGTTGAGTTGCAATTTAATCTTGATGAAGATGATATACTTGATGACTTGATCATGTCAGGTAAGCAATTCAAGATTCTAAACTCTAAGATGAATTCAATACTTCACTTTTTGGCTGATACTGGAGACAAGAACTCAACTTGTGGTGTTGAAGTGGAATATCTTTTGAAGTCCTCTTAGTCTCGATTGAAACTTTTATTGATAATGTTGATAAAAGATATTAAGAGAGGATGGAAGCTCAATCAATAAATTTTGATCATGAACTCTCGAAACTTCGTGATGTGGAAAAAGAGTACCATGAACTTTTTTAGAAACAAGTGTCTGAGATGGAAACTTCTCTTGAGCTCCAGGTTAATGAGCTTCGAACCTTGATGGATAAAAATGTTAAGAAGTTAGATGATAATTACAATTTGCTGCATAAAAAGGTTGATGTCGTAGCAAATGCAACAACTCGATTGATCGAAGATATCACTGCCTTCAACAAAGAATATTTGTAAGATCTAAAAGTCAAGACTGAGAAGGATGACAAGGTGTTTGACAAAAGTTGAAGTATTCTTATCTGATTTTAAGGAGACATTATACAAAGTGGATCTTTCGAATCAATCTTCTATTTCTCAAGAATCCGTTTCTGCTATGGGTTTCGAACATCGAGTCAAGTATCAAGGATGAGTTGGCTCCGATACTGAATTTGGTGCTTCGACTAGCAACAAATGCTCAATGTCCTATGCATGTTTCGCAAGTGGGAGATAGGCGTGCTGCAATTGGTTCGTCTAAGGGGTCTGGAGAAGATTCATGAATAGTTTTTGGGAAAGTTATGTCTATGCAAATTTCAATAACAATTCCAATGAAGCCAGTTATCACATCATCAACAACAACCACTTCAACAATGAATCTTTCACAAGGTAATGTTGATCAATCGAAAGCTCAAAATAAAGAAATTTTGATCAATGAAGGAACTAGAGGTTCAAGTTCTGCCCTTGTCAAATGAATATCAAATGTTGATCCCAAAGACAAAGGGAAATGTGTTCTAGTTGAACAAACCACCGGGGGGAATAAGAGATTACAAGCTTTAGAGATTGAAAGAAAAAGAAAAATTAACAACATTATGAGTCAAAGGGTGATTGATCCACTAGGATCGAACAAAGGTGATCCTAATGAGCATTGGTGTTATGAAACAATAGAGATTGTAGTTCTTGGTGAGAATGATGAATTCTTGAAAAGGATAAAAAAATTTATGACACTGAAAAAACTCAAAATTCAATCAACTTGATTTCCCAGTCAATCATTTGGTATTCATGTCTACTCAGTTCAAAATAGTCTGACAACTTCAACATCAAAGACGAATACAAGAGATTGAAGATTCGCTTTCCTGCAGTCCTGGGAAAGAAGGAAGAGGAAGTTTGATCGTTGGTAAAGTTTGTCAAAGTAATGTTAATAGTGCTTGATGTATTGTTTGAAGCATTATTGTAGAACTAGTGATACTCAATTGTAAGGGCAAACAATGTGGCATTTGAATTCATAATTGTAGACTTTTCATGGATGAATTTGAATGATCTTATCACCATATCTAAGATTTTGAGAAATCTTAACATGTTGAAAGTACCAAAAGCAAATAGAGATGCATTTATTCTTGTCTATGGTCACATAAAGGCATTTCTTGATTGCTACTATAAGTATTTAGCAATTACTGATATAGATCTAGCCTTGGTAATCAATAAAAATTCAAAGGTGCTTGAATCTTTGTTGAAGGGAAGGGTGAACATTGATAAGTTTAAAGATGGTGAAATTATTCATGATCCATTTGGCATAGTATTCCAAGGAAAGAACAAGAAAGGCTAGTTGACAAAATTTCTATTCCAAGTGAATGACATTGAGAGATACTTAAACTCTTATTTTTCGAATCCTTCAATCTGCATCAATAACTGCAAGAGGGATGACAATGAAGTCAAAGTGAAGATCCGAAAAATCATTCTTTGTTATATGGGTATTCGAAAGGAGCTGTTACAAGCAATAAATATTATAGCTTGATGTTTAGACTATTATCACTAAGGGGGAGATTGTAAAGTCAAAAGTTTTAGTGAGATTCGAAAGTTATATCTTTTAGTTTGTGTTTGCAAATAAATAAAGTTACGCACTTCCGTTATCTAAGCTGTTTACAAGGTATTTCAGGTTTTGATATGTATAGACTAGTCCTTGTATTTTTTGTATGTCTGATGTACCCTATAAATAGGGTAAATACTTAGGTATAGATTAAGGAACACTCTTCGTTTTATTCTTTGTACTCAAAAACCATTTGTACTCATTCAGACTTAATCGGAGCTAAAAAAATCATATTTAGATCTTGTGCTCTTTATTGCTTTCATTTATTCGATTGATTTAAACATTGTTTCTAACACTCTTTAGTGATCATGCATCATCTATCGATCACACCTTCAGTCGGAGCATGTCCCCATTACACATACATATCATACTGGGAGGAGAGATGGGCCGAACATAGAGGTGGAGCAGACACTAATGGGGTTGTAGATGGAGATGATTAGGAGGAGGAATGATTATCCTTGCTTTTCTTTTTTTATATCATGGTGTTTTACGATTATTTAATTTTGTGTGTTTAATTTGTTGGATTTAAGTCATTAGGATTCGCATAATTTTAATTTATGTAATTGTTTTTCCTTTTTTATTACTTGTTTGTTTGTGTTTTTAAGTCATGCAGAAGTTTGGTTGATGAGAGAATACATTAGAAATTTCTGAGAATGTGATTAGAAGAATAAGTGCGGGGTGAGATTTGCGACTTGAAATGAGATATGAGCGAAAGATGTGCTTTATAGGTCATATTAACTGGAAGACATGATTTTACATCATAATAAGAGGGGTATGGCACCTTGGTATTACCTTTTCTAATTGGCTTCGTGATTAGAAAAAAGACATATTTCTTTAAAGGTACAATAGCCACGATGTGGCCACTTTATGTCACAACATGGCGAAGGCAGAATTCATGATTATATTTCCGGTGCCATAGAATACCACGACGTGGCATTACGTAGCCACGATGTGGCATTACCTAGCCACAACGTGGGGTATGTTTAGGTTGATTTTCAAGTTGTTGTTTCTTCACTAAATTTAGGAGTCCGTTTTCTTGGCAACTCGAAGATCATTCCTATAGAGGTCCAAAGTCTTGATTTCCATCTATTTCACGAGATGTCACTTTCCATCTATTTCGCGAGATGTCAGCCACACACCATTCGATTTCGACCTCGCCACTTCTATCCCATGTGAGTCTGTTTCATTTTCTCATTCTTTATTTATATGTTCTTTAATTGTTTATGCGTGCAATGAGAAAATTGCATGAATTAAGAGTGCGGTAAGGGGTCGAATGTAGGAATACAAACATGCTCAATATATGAAAAAAGAAAAAAATAAAAATGACTAGGATTAAATTTTTTTTGAGAGAATTGAAATAATGGTCTAAAATTGAATCTAGTTAAAAATTGTTATATTGTCGTGTTGAGACCTAGGTTGCTAGTGTTGTATGGGACGATCTGATGCGATGTTCGATGTTTATTTGAGCTAATATATGTTATGGTGTATTTGTGGCTTCCCTATCTTAGTGAAATCATGGGACAAAAACATAACTTTGTTTAGTTTGAGGTACATAATATGTTTAGCATCGTGTATAAGAAATGTATCCAAAAAAGATTATGTAGTCATTGCACCTTAGCCTAATGCCTCTAACCAATAAATGTTGAAATTAAGCTCCCTTGTTTAAGCATATATTTTCTTTAGGTTTTTAGCTTGGAGTAAAAAAAAAAGAAAAAAGAGAGAGAAATGTTGAGTGAATAAAATCTTATAAAGTCTGTAGATTGAAGATATTGAAGAATGAAGAAAAATTGCCAAGAAGTCAATTGAGTATTTTAATTTATTGGAAATTTTCTTTTCTAGGTTATTTTTCTATATGTATGCTTGGGGGATTAATAAAAAAATTACATTGAGGTTAAGAAAGATTTCTAAGGATATATTCGGAGGGATGCTTAAAATGAATATTTTTCAAAATAAATGGGAAGTTTTTATGAGGATTGTGAGTATTTAGGATTGAGAAAGTTCTTAGGAATATCAGACACAAATATATGCATTAAGATCTTGATGTAAGGGATGGGCTCAAAATGGATTGTCTCGTACGATGTTGGTGACTAGGGTATTGATGTAATGGTATGATGATAATACAATCAATTTTGCTTGGGGGCAAGCAAAAGTCAAGTGTGAGGTATTTTGATATGTGCATATTTAATAATATATTTTGTGCATTTTCTTAATACTTTTAGCTACAATTATGCTCATTATAGGACAAAAGGTACTTAAATTGTTTAAATTTTGTTTTGTAGCAATGAAGATATGATCGGGATGAAAAGGAAGTAATTGTAGAGCTGGAAGCTAGAATTTGGACCAAGTCAATAGGAGTCAAAAGATATCAAGAAATCTGAAGACCATGACATGGAGATCCCAAGCTACACCGTGGAGCCTATTCGCCACGACGTGGTAGGTGATTTTTGGAAACTATATATTTATCGTTTTGGCTCTCATCCCTAACTTATGTTGGAAGTTTTTGATGACTTTTGGAGACTAGAAACTTCCTTTGGAGATTTTGGAGTGCATAAATCATTTTGAGGCTTGATTTTGAAGAGATATAAAGGCAACATTACTCTTAATTACTCATGTGCTTTGATTTTATAATGTTTATCAAAGTGATTTTTACATGTTTGTTTCTAGTAGTTATGGGCTAAATACCCTAACTTATGTTTATAATAGATGATCTTGCATACTATGTGTTGATTGAGTGAATTTGGATTATAGCTAATTGGTTACTTATTATGGTTGCTTGTTAAAAGAACCTTTTATTTTAATGACAACTTATTTTTCTGTTTATTGCTAAGTTTAACTAAGATTTGATGAACTTGTTGTCTTAGGTGTCTAAGCCAATAACTAAATTAGTATGTACTTAAATTAAAAGCAAAGTCTTTTTGGGTTGCCTTAAAAACTAGTAATTGACAGAATAACTTTTTGGAGAGAAAAGTTAATTTATTGGTTTATTCCAAGATTAATAAGTAGCAATAAATAATTTATTAATATATTGTGTGTTTAATATACTAATTAGAAATAATATTATTTAATTAATAATTAATCAAAAATTAATTAGAATTAATTTTGGGATTAATTAGATTAATTAAAAGAATAAGGACTAAAGGTGATAATGTTGAAAAGTTTAGAAAAGGAAAGCTTCCAGAACCTCCCTAGAAGGGATGGTTTTGGTGCAGCTCCTTAAGGCTTCTAGAATTCCTTACGGAGTAAGGAAAGGCTAAAAGGAAACTGTCTTATTTGAGATATTAATTTAATATTCAAATTAAGGTTGCCTTACGTTACCTTAATCACATATAAATACCCTAATGGTATTAGAATATTTTGCAAACACTTCTCTAAGAGCTTTAGAGTCAAAAATTTCCTTCCTCCCTCCTCTCTCCTCTCAAGTCTTCTATTGCAAGGGTTTGGGTACAAATCATTAGAGGCATGAGATTTCTGGTGCTTGCTTTTTGAAGCTTGTTCAACAAGGAATTGTTTGGTTATTTGCCACAATAATCAAATGACATGTAAACTCTAAAACCTTTTATGAATTTTGAAAGTAGTAGAGTACTGCAAGGGTTCTTGATGTTCAATTGTTTGTTGCAGTCAATAGAGAAAACTTAGATCCAATAGGTTGCATGTGAACTTAGGGTCAAGTTTTTCCGCTACATATAATTTTTGTCT